ATACAACAGGTGTTCAGGAAGTACCTGTGAACACACTCACATGTGTACGTGCACACGCGCGCACACACACACACTCACGGGAATAAAGTTGAGGAGAGGTGTTGCATTTCCACCAGCAGGAGCTAAAAGCTGGAAGGTTAGGATGGAAGCCCCGAGGGGCAGAGGGAAAGTGTCATACGTCACACATGTGTGGCCCTCAAAAGGGTGGGCCGGACTGGTTATGGCACTGTCTCCTTAGGGTACGTGACAGCCCCATGACACCTCACCCACAGGGCCCACAAAAGACACTTCGGTGGCTCCATTCATAGTCTTTGTATGTGTTTACATGCATGTGTGTATACACAGGGGCAAGTGGACATGTGTGCACCCTTGCAGGTCAGACACTGATGTCAGCTGTCTTCACTTTCACCTTGTTTTTTTAAGAAAGGGCCTCTCCTTGGTCTGGAACTCACCAACTGAGCTAGGCTAGCCAGCAAGCCTGGGGATCCTTGGGTCTTCCCTTCCCCAATTCTGGGATTCCAGCTTTTGCATGGGTGCTGGGGACAGAACTCAGGTCCTTATGCCAGTTGAGGCAGGTCCCTCCCTAACTCCTCAATGTATCCTCTCCACTGCAAATTTCCACCTACAATCTTCTGGAGCAAAAGTTCCAGTTGACAGCAAGTATCGCCTCTGGGCCGCAGCACACCAGGCACAGAGGTGTGTTGAAGCCTTCGGGACGTCACTGGGTCTGAGCCAACAGTTCAGTTATCATTTCCAGCTGCCCACACTAAATCCCCTTGCTTCTTTGTTTCATAAAAATCGAAACTGGTGGCAAGAACACACAGCCAGGCAGTGGAGTCAAGATAGCAGATCCCAGTGGGTAGGAGCCATCACAGACGGAAGGCAGATCCACCAGGGATGGGGACCCAGGACGCCTGCCAGCTCAGCAGCAGGAGACTGCCGCAGCAGGACCGTGAGTTCAAGACCAGCTCGGACTCAAGAATGAGACCGCCACTCGACAAAACAAAACAATTTTTAAAAAGAGGAAGGGAGCGTGGGGAGGGGCATTAGACATGGTGGCTCAGGACACTGATAAGGGCCAGGGTTTCTCAACGGCCTCAGGGAACACCCTAGTCAATGTGTTCAGAACCCAGGCCTGGCTGAGCATGGTGCCACATGCCGGTCATCTCAGCTCTAGAGAGGCTAAGGCAGGAGGATGGAGAGTTACAGTCTAACCTGGGCTACATAGACAGGCAGACCCTGTGTCCAAACAAAACGCCCACTGAAACAGGAAGGAGAGAGTGAGGAAGGGAAGGTGGGAGGGCCTACCAGGCTCTGCCTAGGTCCTGTGGGCCCCACTGTGCTGAGAGGATCCAAGGCCTTCTCTCTCTAGGTGAAAGGCCTCGCTCCCTGGCGATGCCTTTAGAAGCTTCTAGATTTCCTGCCCTGATTTGCAAGCCAGGCTTCCAATATTATGAGAAGTTCCCAAGAAGATAAAAATCATTGCTGGTGAGAGCCAGACACTGGATCCCAGCTCCACTGGCAGCATTCAGGAGAGGGACAGCACAGTGCAGTGTGTGACTGGAGCCCAGGCGGTCCTGCTGCGGAGGAGGGGGGCGGGGGCAATGAGCTGGAGCAGCAGCACCCCCTCCTGTACCCGCTGGGGCAGCTGCAGCTCACTAGCCATAGGCAAAACCTTTGTGTGCCTGGTGCCACTGTGCTCAGCTCGGCATCATGCTGCCATGGGCACTCTGCCAGCTGAGGACCCCCCTCACCCCGCCCCGCCATCTTCCTAGTGACCGAGGCAGCCTCGGCCAGAAGCCTGTTTTCCTAACAAGAAAGAGGAAGGGGCAGGGTGGCTGGTGACAAGCCAGCACCCTTCATCCTGCGTGCTGGCTGGCTTCGCGCTACACTTTAGACACGGCTGGCTCTGGCCTTCTCATGGTCAGTTTGCTACTTAATCTTCTGTCAGCTTGACACAAGCTACATACAGTTATCTGGGAACAGGAACCTTAACGGAGAAAAATGCCTCCCTCAGATTGTTTGTGGCAGGCCTGTACAGCATTTTCTTGATTGATGTGGAGGGGCTCGGGCCACTGTGGGTGCTGCTACCCTAGGCAGGTGGTTCTGGGCTGTGTAAGAAAGGAGACCGAGAAAGCCATGAGGAACAAACCAGTTCCTCGGGTGTGCGTGGTGAGGGGCCTTCTCCTTCATTTCCTGCCTCCTTCAGAGGACTGTTCCTGAGATAGGTAAGCCAAACAAACCCCTTCCTGCTCAAGCTGCTTTTGGCCAGTTTTCATCACAGGGACAGAAATCCTAACTAAGACAGGTCACCATCCCTGTTCCGCCAATGCCCAGGATGATATCCGGCTTCTAACAGAAGCTCGGGAGGTGCAGAGCTGGGTCCCACACTCAGAAAGCAGCGAACACAGATCTGAGCGTGTAATGATGCTATGGCCCAACTGCACAGCACGTGGCTAGGAAGGAAAGGGGGTGGGAATGGCAGTTGGGACAGACATCCCCACCTGTGAATGTCCACTTCTAGTACCCCATGGCCCCACAGTCACATCCACTAGATGTGGTCCCAGAACCCTCCAGAACCCTCCAGAACCCTCCAGAACTCTCCCCAGGGCTGTTGCTCAGTTCAGGGAACCTGCATCTCAGAACCTGTGTTCTCAGGAGGAGTCCCGGGACCTCAGGCTTGGGACCCTGAGCCACTCCAACCCCTCGGGGACAAAGAAGGTATAGGAGTCAGATTGAGGAAGGCAGATGGCACAAGGTGAGCCTGGCACAGTGCTGTCCCTAGAGGGCCCTCTGTGAAGGAGGCTTGAGATTGGAAGACAGAAGGGCAGGCGGTGGGAGCAGGGGGAAGCCTTGAGGAACTTCAAACTCTAGCCAGCACCTGGAAGGGACGAAGCGGGCCCAGTGAAGAGCAAGCCCCACAGAGGCCTGACAGGCAAGAGGTAACCCCAGAGGCCAGGCAAAGGGTGTCTCCCACAGAGGCCCAATAAGGAGTGCCCTTCACAGGAGCCTGGCGAGGTGTGTCCCTCCACAGAGATCGTGATAGAGTGATAGAAGTGTCCCCACAGAGAAGTGCTGCAAGGCCAGATTCTGTTCCCTGCTGCAGAGTAACTCAGAGTCTGTGGACAGTGGGAGCCCCAGGGGTAGCTTCAGAACCAGGAAATGGGGACTTAGGAGCCTAGGTAGGATATAGGTGCAAGGCTCACGGCTCCAGAACCTGAGCTACACTGCCAAGGAGAGTGACAGAGGGACAGAGCTCTGCCCAGCCCCCCTTCTCCTCAGATACCATAAACAGTGTCATGTCATAGCCGTGGTGGGGAGGGCCTACTGACTGGGCCTGCTGGGGATGGAGCATGAAGGCCCCCAGGAGAAGGCAAAGCCATAAGCACAGCGACTTGTGGGACCTGCCACCTCAGCAGGAACTTCTTACGCCATCTATCAGTTCTTGCCCTGATCAACCGGTGATTTTCACACCGTCTCCTGTTCAGTGGAATGACAAATCCCAAAGGCTTCCCGGGCGTGAGCTTAGAGCTCAGGGTGCAGGCTGCACCATGTGGCTGCCCAGGAGACAGGTTAGCAATGAGGTCGGTCCAGGACAGCCACAGGGGGATTCTGATAGATGAGCCAGGTAGGAGAGGGTCAGTGAGGACCATGACGGTGGTTGTTCTGCACTGCAGGCCTTGACGAATGTTCTAGAAGGAGAACAAAGCTTTCCCTGTAGCCTCCCAGAAACTGGCCCTGCCCAGCCTAGATTCCCTCAATGAGGCCTGGATAATTCTGTGGAGACTACGTAGTCCAGGCTAGCCTGAAACTGGTGATGCTTCTGTCTTAGCCTCCCTAGTGTGGGGATCACAAGGGTGTGTGTGTGAGAGAGAGACAGAGACAGATATATATATATATATATATATATATATATATATATATATATATATATAGAGAGAGAGAGAGAGAGAGAGAGAGAGAGAGAGAGAGAGAGAGAGAGGCCAAGCTCAAGATTTATTACAACAGTCATAGGAAGCTGACATCTCTGAGTCACTGTGTGGGTCAGGCCAGGTGATAGCACAAAAGAGTGGGGAGGGGGTCTTCAGCAACAATGGCTACATAGCAAGGGGACAATGCTGTGGCTGTCCCACCACAGGGACCCTACCCAGTCCTCTCTATCACTGATCACCTAGAGGGAAGCCACGATGGTTAACACTGACCGTTAGCTTGGTTGGATCTAGAATCACCTACTCAATGAACCTCTGGCAGGTCTGTGATGGAGTCTGCCATTCAAGATCCTCCGCCATGACGTCCCCACCATGGTAAACTGGAGACGGAAACCATACGCCGAACAACCCTTCTCCCCGAGGCTGCTTCAGTGTTCGGCCGCAGCAACGAGAAACGGGACTAACACGGGACGAATGGCAGCCAAGGGAAACCGGTGTGTGTCAGCCAGGCTTCTGCACCTGGACGCATGGTCCAGTGTGGCTCTCCAGGATGTTAAGAAGAGGCTACAAGAATACACATGTCCACCGTGTCCTCAGAACCTACAGTAAAGGTCCTAAGAGCCCACGAGAGATCCATGGGATGAGGAGAGCCACCCTGGCCACAGCTCTCTCAAAAGCCACTGAACAACAAGAGAGGAGTATGAGGGCATCAAACTGGGAAGCCCTGGTATAGACATCCTCATGCCTGCTGGCCCAGCGCTAAGAAAGCCTTCACAAGTACCTAGGACAGTTGGCTCTCATACTCACTTTCCCCAGAAACAACCTGCAGACTCATGTTTGCTGTGAAGGCGTTTACGGGCATGAACGATCAGTCAGTGCACGCACGGGTAAATTCACCACAGGCCATGAAGTGAAAGTTCCAAATCCCAACAAGCGGACCCGAGCCCTATAGGGCCAACAGTGTGAGGTGGAACCAACTCTGACCTCAGTACCCCAGCTCAGCTCCAGAGCCACAGCCCAGGGGCTGGCTCAGGCCCAGTCTATATGCAGAGGCGCAAAACATGACGCTACCTGTGGCTATGAGGTCTGCTCCGTCTCCATCCCAGCTGTCCCGGCTACTCTGCTGGCTTGGCACTGGCCGCAGCTCCTGGGTGGTCCTGGCGCCCCTGGATAGACTATCTGTGGGGGGCACCGGCTGTAGCTCAGGCTCTGATGCAGGAGCATGGACAATTGTAGGTGTCTCCAGAGGGGCAGAGGTGACCTATAAGGAAAGAAGGGGACAAATGAGCCAGGAAGGAAAGAGGCCTTGGGCTATCTTGCTATTCCTTCCTTACTCCTTCCTTACTGACCTCTGTGGTGAGCAGTCCAACTGAGCTGGCTTCAGACAGTGAAGATAGCGTGTACCCTCATTGCCTAGCCATGGACCCCAGGATACAAGATAAAGGATACTGTAACACTATGTGTCCATCTCTTGATATCCTGACATAGAAGGTCCTAGCTTTTGGTAGGCACCCTGGTGTCTAAGAGAAAGTTGTAGGGAGATGCACCATGGTCCAACCTTACGTAGCCTGTCCCCAGGGAACATCTATATGTCATTGCGCAGTTCACCACAGGACCCTGGTGTTCAGCTTAGGAAGCTGGGATGGCCATCTCAGCTGCACCCCATAGATTAGTGGGGATGTCACTTCCGCAAGTCCTGTGGGGACCAGTCTCCTTGAGACCAGAGACCACACAGCATCTGTCCTAGGCTCTGCTGTGACTGCCTTTCAGGCATGGGTGAGGTTCTCCATGCCACAGAGTGAGTGGAGAGGGCTCAGGAACCCATGGACTCCATCCTTGGAATCTTTCATGGAAGAGGGGGCTACCGCTTGGTTTCTTCCCCTTTACACTACGAGTCTGCCTGGCCTCACCTCCTGACACAATGGTTCTGCATCATGGAGTCAGAGAAACACGTGAATGGTAGGTAGCCTTGGGGAGCAGACACCTTACACCTCTGCGGAATCGACAGTCTCTGCAGAGACACCCATCTGCACACAGGCATCTAGTCCCCACCAGGACACCCAACTTGCTTGAGTTAGGCTCAAAAGTCAGAGCCCAATATATGGGAGTCAGTTCTCTCCTGCTGTGTGGATTCCAGGGGTCAAACTCAGGTCATCGGGCTGCCAGCAAGCACCCTTCTTGGCCGAGCTAACTCACTGACCCTCTTCTGTACGGATTTAAGTTGCAGACCCATGTACCCAACACAGAATTCACAAATTACCACAGTACCATCCCACATCACCATATCCATCTCTAGAACCTTCTCACCCCCAGACAGAAGCAGCCCCAACCCCCATACCACAGGACCTGGCTGCCTCCCTTCTAACCCCCTTCCTACCTACCACACACACTTCCTTCTGCCTGTGACCTTGACTATTCTACTTGTTCCACCCCCCTTTCCAAGGCTGGGGAAACCTAAGGTTTCAAAAAGGGGCCTCGAAAAAGGAGACTGAGGTTGCAAGGGGTCAGCACAGGCCAGGGGGACTCCCAGGTCTAGGTGAGTAGCTGGGGCAAGCTCAGCTCCTGGCAGGCAATTTGGGCCACAGGGAGCCAGGCCCAGGCTGGTGACCCCTCCTCTTCCCCACTGAGAGTACAGGGCTGGTGTGAAGTCATTTTCTGTTCATCCAGTTATTTTTTTAATTTTTTTTCCCAGGGCTTAGTTCCGTAGGAGTAGCACACTAAGTGAGACGGATGTTAGGAGTTCCTGAGGCAAGCTTCGCCCCCACCAGCCCTGCAGGCAAGAGGCGGATGAATTTACTGCGCCGTTTCCTGGAATGTTTTAATTTACAGGATCCATATGGAGACACTGCCCAGCTGCACGCCCCCATCCCTACCCCCAAGCCCAGGGCAGGCATGCGGGCTAGAGCCAGGAGGCAACACACTGGGCCATGCATATCACTTATTCTTCATTCATTCATTTGCTCCTTGGGACCTGGGGTGAGTCTGTTGGAGCGGCAGGGACCCCCAAGCTCTACGTAGCCCCTGTAGGGGCTTGGCTACTTCACAACCTTGTCCTAAATCACCATGGAAAATTCTATCAGGGTGAAACTAAAGAAAGACAGGCACAGTGTTGCCACATCCATGAGGGGGTGGCAGAAGGCTATGCCGCCAGCCAGGGATTCCTGCTGCCAGCGAGGGCTTATGGGTCAAATCAGGCAGTGTCCTTGTGATGGCCTCTGAGGACAGGTTGGAGGGAGGCAGAGGGTTGTGAACACCCCAGGCTTGTTCCCTACCTGTGACCTGCTTTTTCTCCTGGAGTAGAAGAACCAGCAGGGTCTTGCTGGGGCAAAGAAGCTGGGCACACTGTGGCACCCCAGGAAGGGGCTGTGGGTGTAGAAGTGGGAACTGGTACTGAGTCTAGCACACAAGGGGAAGGAAGGCTCTTTGCTGAGCACCTACTATGTGCAGGTACCAGTCTAAGCCTTTACACAGCCTCACGTGGTGAACCTTCCAGCTGCTCCCTTGCCAGCGAATGGGCACAGCAACCTGCCTGAACTTGTACAGTAATTGGGGCTTTGAAGTTGGCTGTGACCTCAGTCAGCTATGAAGCAACTGGGGGATGAGGTTTTTAAACAGAAGCAGCAGATGGGAGGCAGGAGTCATGGGCAGAGACAGAGGGTGGGGACGGCACTTCAAGGGCTGGGTGGGAGGACTCCCCAAGAACAGGGAGATTCAGGAGGGCTCTCTGGAGCAGGTAGAATTTGAACATGGCCTTCAAGGGGAGTAGGGTTAGGTAGGGAAGGGCAGCAACCCGGACATGGGGGATGTCATATCAAAAACCATGTGATTGGGCGCAGCCTGGCTCTTTATCCACATCTCTGCAACGTCCCTTTATCTGTTTCTCAACCTACTGACCCATCTACAAGTCCGTCTGTCCACCCATCCACCTAACATCCAGCTATTCATCCATCCATCTATCCGTCCATCCATCAACATTATCTCATATGTGATGGCTATTCTTGGTTGTCAACTTGACTACATCTGGAACTAAGACCCAAGCGGCAACCCTACCGTGTGTAAGACCTACTGTGTGTTACTGTCACAAAGGGGCTATGACAGACATTGGCCCTTTCTTAAGGGGCCATAAACCACCCCACAGGGCAAGACTGTGACCCACATGAAGGTGCTCAGCAGCAAGGATGCAGAAGACAGTCCTACTCAAGGTCAGCAGGAGGCAGGCTGAAGGACGCTTGTCCCTTCTTGCATCTCAGGTGCTTCTGGAAGCATCTAGTGCTACCTTTAAAGGTTGCATTCTCTTTGTTGAGGAACATCGGCAACTGAGAAAATGATTTGCACTTAGGTAGGAAAGTAAAGCAGGGCTTTGGAACTGTGCTACGTCTCTCAAAGTCACACACAGAGCTATCAAATCCCCCAGTAAGGCCCACTTAGGGACAGAGACCAGACAGCAGAAAGCACACATCTCCGAGATAGCTTGAAAATGGTCGTTCACCACAGCCTTCTGTCCTGGAGGACAATAACCCAGACCACAGCCGTGGTCACAGAGCGATGGCTCTGCCCCCCGAGTCTCCAGATGATGAGGCAGCCAGCACTGACAGCGTCACACGTCCATGCCCTGCCATATGCTAAGCTCTAGAACCATGTGTGGCCTGGTCCTGCTGTCTGCCCAGCGGTGTGAGCCTGGATCAGAGGACCACATGCCGGTCCTTCTTCTGGCCTAGCTCTTCTTGCTATGCTATATAACTGCTATTGGAAGTGACGATACTTGATTCCTTCCTCATCTCAGGGCAGCTTGATCAGGGTTAATGGATGTGCGTGGAGGGGCTGGAGATTATCACATGCTAAGTCTCCCACCCATCCTTCCTCACCTTCCCACAGCCAGACTGAATACAATTCCTAACAGAAAGCAGCCCTGGGCTGCCTACCTGAGTCTCCTCTCTGGTCTTTGTGTAAAATGCTATAACGCCTGAGGCATGTACTATTGTCCTCACGTTCCCTTTCCAGGGGACCCTGGCAATCACAGCATCACAGAGCCACACACGGGGCACACCTGGCTTTGAATGGTTGGCTGGATAAAGGCCATGATCCCTGGAACCTCCATGGGCAGCAACCACTGAGTTAGCATTGATCAGTTGGTGGCTAGGGGCCAAGAATGATATTTCTATGGCTTTCCAAAATAAAAAGGGTTCATAGTCTACCACCTATATCCCTCATGGACTCCCACATCACCGTGCTTTCTCCAGAGAATTCAAGTGTTTTTTGAGGATGTCATGCCAGATAATGTCAGAAAGGGAGGAAAGAGGCAGACATTGTATTCAAGTGGAGAAGGGCATGTGTGTGTATGTGTAGGGGTATGTATGCTAATGCATGCATGCATGCCCGTGTGTGTGTGTGTGTGTGTATGCCTGTGTGTGCATATGTATGTGTGTTCTATCAGGACCCAAATCTATTTAATTAATTTTTTATCAGCTCACAAGGTCTCTCTAAATTAGAGATCTCTACTATCTTAAGTTTTATTGAAATATGCTTCACATATTATACAATTCATCTACTATCTTCCCCCCCCCCAATGTCGGGGATTGAACCCAGATTAATTCAGTAGCAAGTATTTCAATTATGCAGTTCTGGGGCTGGTGAGATGGCTCAGCAGGTAAAGGTGCTTGCTGTCAAAACTGATGACCTGAGTTCAATTTTCAGCACCCACAGCAGAGAAAGAGACACATACGTGTGTCCTCACACACTAAATGCATGCACACGGTGGCACATACGTTGTGTCCCCACACACTAAATGAAAGCACACAGTGGCACATTCGTGTGTCCCCACACACTAAATGCAAGCACACAGTGACACATACATGTGTCCCCACACACTAAATGCAAGCACACAGTGGCACATACGTGTGTCTCCACACACTAAATGCACTAAATGCATGCAATATACATAAATAGTCCCAGTTAATGGCTTTTTGTAAATTTGTGGAGTTGTGGAGTTGTCTCCACAACCCATTTTAGAATGTTTTGTCCAGTTAACTCTGGGGACATTATCTTTGGAGCCTTCTTCCATCTCCCCACACTCCTGGAGGTCAATCTTACTCTGTCTTTCCAGCCCCCGGGCAGTCGCTCCCTGTCTCACCCAGGCTCTCTCAGTTTCTATAGCCAGGGCTCCACGCTGCCTTTATACGCTCTCCTACTGGGGACGTTTCACATTAATGGAGTTGTCACGTGGGACCTCTCATGTCACCCTTTCTCGGTTAGCATCCGTCT